TAACCAGCTTTTAGAAAAGAATGATTTTAGCACATGCACATAATGTGCAGTATTTCACACGCAATTATTCCTACAAAGGAAAACAAAACTAATGAACCAAAGAAAGTTAAAAATAGATGCACATATGCATCATATGTGCTAAAAATTAAATAGCTATTCATTCCCAGTGTTGTTTTCTGCTCCAAATCAAACTTCAGCCCAATACCACAGTTCGGATTCATATCACTAAGTTATTATGTCCTTGGAGGCTTTATTGTCCAAATGTCAGGCACACACTCATTTCATGAATCCAGTATAGTGTTGTAGGCAGATATGTGAGTTTCCAGTGTGAAAGCAGAGTGCCCTAACATGACTTAAACGTGGTTCACAAGCCAGTATTTCTCCACAGGTGGAGGTGGAGACACCGATAAGAGGCTGAACTGTAAGAAAGTTAAGTCTCATCTGGTTTCTATTGGTTGCAATCGTCAGCTCTGAGTTTTTGGCTAAAAAGGGTTTCATGTCGTCTCTCCTGCAGTTCTGGATGTCTGCTGTGGCCACCACCATGCCCATCCCATCCGGAGCTTTCATGCCGGTCTTCATCCTAGGTGAGTGTTTTGAAGCTTTGCGTTGGTTTAAGTCTTCATCCTCTTTGGTTGTCACTATAAATACTGAGTCTGTAAACAGTACTGTTCAGAAACCTTTATCTAAACTTTAATGATTCACACGCTTTGTCAGTGACGTGATGATAATTAATGTATTTTATTTTTAAACTATATTTACTTTTAGCCCCACTTTCGTCCTATAGGAGCTGCATTTGGCAGGCTGGTAGGGGAGATCATGGCCACTCTGTTTCCTCATGGGATCGTGTTTGATGGCATCCTTTACCGCATCATCCCTGGAGGGTACGCAGTCATCGGTTAGTTTCTTGTTTCTCCTCATAGCTTTTCTCCACATGTTTACTCTTTAATCACAGCTATGATCCACCTTAGCAACTAGCCTATTTTTTAGCTTCACATATAAGTCTTACTGTCAAACTGTCCTCGTCTTTTTCCCCTTAACTGTCAGCTTTCTGTGCCCTCAGCTTGTCGGGCGTGTTCCACCCTCTTCCTCTTTCTGTACTGTCACTTCCCTCGTCTTCTTTCTCCTTCAGCTTCTCCTTCTGTCAGCCTCTCTGGTCCTCCAGTCGTCACTCATTGTCAACTTGTCCTCCCCACCTAATCCGCTACCCCACCCCCATTCTTGTCATCCTCTCCCTCCATCCCAACTCCTCTTGCTCCTTTCCATCAGAGCATGTGGTCGCTGTGCTCTGACAGTTAAATGTCACCCTGGGTTTGCTCTGCTGTCCTCACCTCAACAGCTGACCCAGAAATGTGGCCTTTTCTTCAATCCTCGCTCCCATTGGCCTACAAAAGCCCGTCCTTAATTTCTCTCCTCCTTTTCTACCTTTTTTAACCTCTTCTTCTCTTTTATCCTTCTCTCGGTAGCCTCCCAGTATCTCCTTACATTGCTTCTCATTAAACTACTCTTGTGCAGCATGGTTTCCTCTTCCTTCCACTGATTTTCCTTTTCTCCCTCATTCTCTTTGCTCTTTTTTAAACATTATCACCCTCATTCTTGATTTTCTTTTTTCTCTTAATTTTATTTCTTTTGAGTCTGTTCCTGTCTGCTCCCATCCTATTCTGCTCTGCTTTTCCAGTCTTCCTTGTCTTCTACTTTCCATCAGTATACTTTTACCCTTCCTCCTTCCTGTTACTCCGTGATCCATCTCTTCCTACTGTATCTTGTACTGTCTTTCCTTTGGCACGTCTCCCTTCCCCCACCCTCATCATCCCATCCCGTTTCTCTGGCAGGAGCAGCAGCGTTGACTGGGGCTGTGACTCACACAGTGTCCACGGCGGTTATCTGCTTCGAGCTGACAGGTCAGATCTCCCACATCCTGCCCATGATGGTGGCAGTAATCCTGGCCAACATGGTGGCCCAGGGCCTGCAGCCCTCCCTCTACGACTCCATCATCCAAGTCAAGAAGCTCCCGTACCTGCCGGAGCTTGGCTTCGGACACATGAGGTCTGTTTTCTTTTTACAAGCCAGTTGTGGGAACGATGTCAACAAATTTAATATGATGCCCTCCATAACTCCAGCTGGCAGGGAAATAAATGGTGTAATTGTTGGTGGATAAAAAAACATTAAGAATTACATTTCTGCATAATTAATAAATGTTTGCAAGAAAATAAAAGAAAGTGACAAAAGAGGTTTCCAGTTTACCCCTTCAGATGAGGAAACCTTACAATTATAAAGGACCCTCAGCATGCAGAGATGCCATGCAGCTGAAACATGTAATTTGTGCCTCTTGGTAATGATGAAGGGTAATTTTCTTGTACAGTGCTTTCTAAAATTGTGTAGCAGTTCCATCTTTGTGTATCTGTTTCACAGCCAATACAACATCTTTGTAGAGGACATCATGGTGAGGACGGTGAAGTTTATGTCGTCTCAGTCCACATACCGAGAAGTCAAACTCCTGCTGGACTCCACTTCACTCAAATCGATCCCCCTGGTCGACTCAAAAGGTAAACAGACCGATGAAGCGCCTTCCTTGCTATTTCGACTGGGGATTATAGAGATCAGGGGTCGGCAACCTTTAACACCCAAAGAGCCATTTGGACCCAGTTTCCACAGAAAGGAAAACACTGGGAGCTGCAAATACTTTTTCACATCTAAAATGAAGATAACACTGTATATATTGTTTGTTTGTTTTTACCTTTATGCTTTCTATAAACAACTATAGTGTGTTGTGCATGAAATCCACAAAGTGCTACAGAGAAAATTAAATTTTATTTATGTAATGGACACAAACATTTTAAACTCTTAAAAAATTATAACAAAAAAAAGAAACATGCCGAGTTGAAGGTCTCTTTTAAATGAATATAAAGCTAAACTTAAATTATTCATTTACCAAATAAAAAATGTTGTGAGCCGTCATCCTTATGTCGCCTTTGGGCTTTCGGAGACTGTAGCCGAACCTTGACTTGAATTTAAAAAATAGACTGGAAAAAAGTCCTATGCTACTAAACAATGAAAAATAAATATTTGCAAAATATTTGCATAAATATTTATTTTACCTGGTTAATGTGTGCAGCGGAGCGTGGTCTGCGGTGCCGCTGCAAGGAGGCGGATGCACCTGAGGGGCATCCGAAATCATGCCTCGTGCTCTCTCTGCTGTTGTGTTGTTGTTGTTGGTACGTGTCAGGCTGTGAGCTGGAAAGCTAAAGCCAGCGGCATGTGTGCAGCAACTGTGTGTGGTCAATAAAGAGATGCTGAAAAGCGTGTTCATGCAAACATCGTCGGGTCTGCCGTAGTATGTTTACAATGGGACTTCTGCTCCTGAACCTCTGCGCACAGCGTCTGCAAATCGGGGCTGTACGAGTCACTTTCAGCTTTACGCAGGACTGTCGTCTGTGAGGCGTGAGCGGTGTTTGTTTTTAACATAGCTCATGGTGGAGAACAGCTGCTCACATACGTATGTGGATCAACAATCCACAAATCAGGCATGCTGGTAGGCTTCTCACTCTTGTCAGAAGTAAATGCAAATGAATCTGCCCCGGCATCAACAAATGTTCTATTTTCTTCAGATATTTTTCTTTTCTTACATTTCTCCATACTTGGCCTACCTGGGGTTGAAAGTCTCAATAAATGCACGACGTTTTGGAGGGTGTACCAGCTTCCGTGAGTGTGACGCTTATTTTGAGCAACAAAAAATAATAAAATATAATTTTATTTTAATATTTCAAGATTGCAATAATTTTCCCGTCTCGAACTGCAAGTTGAAAAAAAGAACTAACACAAGTAAAACACACTTCTGTTAAATAGTTATAATTTATTTTCCCAAGCCACGCGGAGCCGCAGTTTAATGTTGGGCAACGGGTTGCCGACCCCTGATGTAGATCAAATAGAACTGAATTGGATGAGTGGATGAGCCAACAAAGTGTCTCACAGAAATTTGTTTGGTAATTGAAAGAACACAAAGAGTTGCTGCTATCACATTAAATACAACAGTATCAAATATAGGTATTTAAATAAGAGTACTTTGCATTTTTAATGGATTTTATAGGAATCATAAGGCATCGTGATATTAATAAAATTTACATCTGTTTCTCTGCTTCCAGATTCTATGATCTTATTGGGCAGCATTGACAGGGTGGAGCTTCTGGCTCTCTGTGATTGGTGGCTGTCACCAGAAAGAAGGCTCCTGATGCAGGTGAGGACAGTCACAGGGCAACCACCAACTTAACAACCACCAAAATTTGTATCTGGGACATAAATTGTTCACCCTACACCTAAATCCAGAATGAAGAATTTCAAACAAGCCGTGCAGATCTGGTAAAACTGCCCACAGGGTGGGTTTTTGCTACTTTCCATAGTTTTAAAGAGAAACACAAGTAAAGTTTTCTCAGTTTTACTTCAAGCTGAATAACAATGATGCATTTAAATGATGCAGAACATGTAAATGATTGTTATAAATACCTTGTGGAGCTCTGCTGTGTACAAGCACGATTTCATGTATAAACACAGGAGCTAACATCCTGTGGGTTTACTGGGTTTTTTTGAAGCACTTTGCTCCCTAAAGCAGATGTATAATTTATAACTAGTGTACAAACATGGTTGTTAATGCAATAATTCCATTAACGTTTTACCGAAATTACATAATGTTGAGTTTACAGCATGACATTGTCAGTGAATTAGCTGCTCGGGCGCCTCTCGAGTTCAGCTGAAGCTCTGTGTATTCATGCAGAGGCAGAGCCTGAAGCCAGACATTAAAATAACAAGTGTTTACAATTGTTATTGATTTGGGGCACTGAAAAGTCAGCTGGTACTGAGCAGAGTGAACTAAAACTGGAAAACATT